AGAAGAAGAAGAAGAAGAAGAAGAAGAAGAAGAAGAAGAAGAAGAAGAAGAAGAAAAGTATTTACAAATTTTCCAAAATAGAAAAAATCTGTTCATACATCTCTTTCAGGCTGGTTTAAATATGTCCCAAGTATTCTCACATTCTCTCAATTTATAAAGGGAGCTATTAGTGTACCTGTTGGAATACATATCTTCTTATTTACAAAAGATACAGCAGTGTTTGGGGGAGTTAGACGACTTAAAGATAGCTAATAAAAGGCAAAACAGGTATTTTACACATACCAGTAAAATTCTGAAACTGGAAATCTAAAACACTCTTCTAAAACCATCTTATCTTTCAAAACACGGTGAAGGAAAATCCTTCTAGAGAAATGGAAAATAGTGAACAGAATCTGTGAATTTAACCAGGTGTTTACAAAACAGAAGGGAAAACACAAAACAACCCTTGTATCCCAAGGCAGAATGAAAAAACTGCTCCTAATGAATCCTCCCTTTCACTACTGAGGCAGACACCCCAGAGGCAAGGCCCTTTAAGAGCAGAACAAAGGATCATAAAGGGAGACAAGATAGGAGGTCTTAGCTTTTAATGGCCCCTGACCAGTGGGTATATTTTAATAGGAAGCTCTCTGACAGACAAATGGCAAATTGGAAATCTGGAACATCCAGGAGGCTTCTGGAGATTCTGTACTCCTTGCGCTGGTGAGTGGTGAGTTCTCTTAACCTTTCTTTTATGTGTTAATGAGTTCTGAACAGTTAGAGGAGCTTGGTTAGGGCTGTGGAGAATAAATAAAGACACTGACTGCTTAGATCGTGCTTGAGGGTCCAAAAAAAAAGAAAGAAAGGCATTCATTTTTCCTTTTTTTTCGTCCATCCATACATGTAACAAGTTAGAAAAGGAAGAAGGTAGCAGCAGCCCTGTCTAGGAGTGAAGATCATACCTTTCCAGACCTCTCCTTTTGTTACATGTATTATACATGATTATAGTGGAATAAGTGCAAGGGCATAGGAAGGGTTTCCACAAAGATAAAGAAGTTTAGGCGTTAGGATCTCTCACTTCAAAGGGCTCTTTCCAAAGATCTGGAAGGTGCCTTATAAAATTTGTATTCATAGCTTTAATTCTATTGTAATTAATATAGAAATATATGTGTTTATATGATTATGTGTGTATATATATGTACATATAATAGTCTTTTTATATAAAATTACAACTTGAATTCACCAGGGAATCTTTCAATCATTAGAGGAACTTCAAGTATTTTTGGACGCATACACTAAGCTGGTTTGTAAAAAGAACAAAAAAGGGATTTCATACCTTGAAAAAGTAAGTATTCTAATCAATTGTACATAATAATTCTACGCAAGTGTTTGATTTTTAGTTGCTTTGTAAATACGTGTAAAATTTACTCATTTATCTCTTTTGGTCTATAATAGAGATAGCTATTCCGGGAAGTGGAGAGTTAGTTTTTATTTTATTTATTTATTTATTTATTTATTTTTTGAGACAGAGTCTCACTTTGTTGCCCGGGCTAGAGTGAGTGCCGTGGCGTCAGCCTAGCTCACAGCAACCTCAAACTCCTGGACTCAAGTAATCCTTCTGCCTCAGCCTCCGGAGTAGCTGGGACTACAGGCATGTGCCACCATGCCCGGCTAATTTTTTCTATATATATATATATTTTTTTTTTTGTTGTCCAGATCATTTCTTTCTATTTTTTAGTAGAGACGGGGTCTTGCTCTTGCTCAGGCTGGTCTCGAACTCCTGACCTTGAGCGATCCACCCGCCTTGGCCTCCCAGAGTGCTAGGATTACAGGCGTGAGCCACCGCGTCCGGCCGAGAGCTAGTTTTTAAAATATGCCAAATGGATGCTCTTTAGTTTCATCCACATCACAATAATATTGTTAGCCCCATTTTACAAGTGTGGAAATAAGGGCTCAGGAAAGTTAAATATTCACCCAAAGTTACTTTACTATTAAAGGGCAAAGATGGAATTCAAACTCAATCCTGCCTGACTCCAAAGTCCAATCTTATTTATTTTTTTACTAAAATACACTATCTTCCTCTAAATCATGAGCCAGCAAACAAAGTTCCGCTTGCCAAACCTGGCCCACTGCCTATTTTTGTACAGTCCATGAGCTAAGAATGGTTTTTACATTTTATTAATAGTTCAAAAAAAAGCAAGAACGATATTTTATGACACATCAATTATATGGAATTCAAATTTCAGTACCCATAAATAAAGTTTTATCCAAACTGACACACTTATCTGTTTATATATTTTCTATGACTTCTTTGTACTACAATTGCAGAGCTGAATAGTTGTTTCAGCGATCAGCCTACAAAGACTGGCCCTTTTACAGAAAAAGGCTGCTAACTGCTAACTCTGCTCTAAAACTTCTGTAATGAGAAAGGTCAGCTGATAGTATAATCCTCTCCCAATGAAATGTGATACAAGACCCTTGATAAATAAAACATTTTTTAAAAAGCCAGTTCCTATATATGAAATATTGGACCAAGAATGGTAAATTTTTCCAACAAACTGTCCATATAAACTTTCAAGTATACACTTACTATAAGAACTTCTTGATGTTTTCAGCTTTCAATTCATCCAGAAATGCCTTCCTCATGCTATGCTGTGGAACAATGTGAGTAGCTTCATTGGAGGATTTCATAAACCACCCTGAAATATACATCCAAAAATAGGAACAAGATATGAGATCATAGACAGGACTTATTTTTCTTTATAGTTGTATGTACCATATTAACACTACGTATGACACAAACTATCAATCACCTCTAGCTTTAGGTGAGATTTTCTGAAGTTTAATTTCTCTTGCCTACTTCTACTGAAAAAAATCATACAAACAGATTTTTAAATAATAAACCAGTTGCAACATATTTTTTATCCAGCTTCAATGACAGGTCAACATTGCTGTTATTCTAAGAAACATTTTACAGGAAACCAGCACTAAAATTAAATATGATATTAATGTTTCAACTAACAGGGATAAACAAGATCTTTTAAAAATGAAGGCAAAAAGGAGATCCACCTTCTTTCTCCATAAAGCTTCTATCTTCAGTGACTGCTTCTTTATTGACCTAGAATAAGCATTTAAAAATTTTTTATGATGAATTAATTATGAATATATTTCAAGTACATAAATTATTTCAAAGTATTGAAGGAAATTCAGACCTCTAATTTTCTCTGGTTCTTAAACTTATACAAAATGTGCTGAGATTTTGTGTTTCCAGTTGAAGCAGGCTTGAGAAGTTCAAATTCAGAAAGCTATAGTGAGACTACAATTTAGCCAACATCTCTGCCAGACATCCAGGGCACAAAAGAGGCCCGAGGCAATAGCCAGACACATTATGTACCATTAGCCCCTGCAGTTGGCTTTTAATTTGAGGGGGACAGGGTCCAACACTGTAGGGTTTATTTAGGGAAATTATGGGATCTGGGAACAAAATTTTTACAAAATCAGCACCCAGCCAGCTTTCATGGAGCTTTCCAATTATTAATCACATATACACAAATACATATACATATATTCATGAACATTAAAACACATAATTGGACACAAGGAGATAAACGATTCCACCTATACATAAAACAAAAGGACTTGGATTAGAGTATGGGATCAGGGAAGGACACAGTGATGAGATGCTTGAACTGAAATCTGAAAAATGAACACAATGATGAGGATGAAAACCTGTGGCGGAGGAGAGAGCAAAGAATACTAAGGGAGAAAAAAACAGTAGTAAAGGACCTATTCTGTGTTAGCCACTGAGCAGTGAATACAGGGACGGGGGTAACACCAGGAAGAATAAAATAATGCCTTGAAGGCCAGGTCTTGGTGGCTCACGCCTGTAATCCTAGCACTTTGGGAGGCCCAGGCGGGAAGATCACTTGAGGTCAGGAGTTCGAGACCAGCCTGAGCAAGAGTGAGACCCTCTCTACTGAAAATAGAAAATAAAAATTAGCCGGGCATGGTAGTGCTCCTGCAGTCCCAGCTCCTGGGGAGGCTGAGGCAGGAGAAAAAAAAGCCTTGAAGGGATGCAAAATATTTTAATTCCCATGCAGACCTTACCAAATCAAATTCCCATTTTTGCAGTTGAGAAAATGGAAATTCGATTTGAAATGTATCCTTGTTAAGCTTACTCATTTAAACCCCACAACAACCCTCTGTGGTTACTAATAACTACATCTTAGTTATGAGCAGTGTATGTGGCGCAAAAGTCTTTGACCGATTCCAATGTCACACAGAAAGCGACAAGAGACTGAATAAATCAAACTGGTCCACGCCCTACTCTTCTAAATTCCAGAAAAGGGATCTAAAATTCCAAGCAGGGCTGGACCACCCTGGCGATACCTAAGGCTAGTCCTGTGCATTAAAGTCCAACTCCTCACCAAAAAGAGAAAAAGTGCTAAAAAATTCTCGTACTGTGCTAAGAGATTTACGTGCTGTTTCATTTACTATTGCCAATAAGTTGCAGAAAATATTAACTTCATCATAAAGACAAGGAAACCAAGGCTAAGGGGGGTTCCGTAACTTGCTGAGGCCAAGTAAGAAGTAGCAAAGTCAAAATTAGAATTTAAGAGTTTGAGCTCGCTTGTCCTGCTCTGGTTTTCTTGGAGAAGTGGTAAAGTCTGCAAATCAGTACGCAGGGAACAACGCCAAAGACCTGCTGTTAAAGATGGGTTCAGAGCCTGACAGTAATTCATCCACTTTCCAAATGTGCCTCTATTGCTTCCAAGGGGGAAAGAACGAGAAGAGAAAACGACTCCCTTTGCAGCAATGTCCTAAATTCTACCGTAAACCTGGAGCAGCCCCAAGTACCCCACTATATAAAATCCCCAAGAGAGAGGCACTTCCTGCATAGCTCCCTGGGCGACTTTGTTCAGTAGCCCCCAGAGTTCTACGCTCATCCTAAAACATGCTGTGTCTACGCAGCTTGTCTAGAACTCAAGCCTGCACCACCCCCAGCAAGCCTCCTCCCAACTCGTGGGGGCTCATCCCCACTGTCCCCACTCAAATTGCCGCTTCGGGGAGAGCGACAGGACCCCACTCGGCAGCCGACCCGGCACAGCGGGGGAGGCTCCGAGGCTTGATTGGCTAAGCGCGCACCTACCTAGGAGGAAGCCCAGCGTGAAGAGGCCGATGGCCAGCACCAGTGCCCCAGCGCAGAGCCAGCGCGGCCGGCGCCCGGCGGCTGCAACCGAGTTGGATTCGTCCGGGAGATTCCACATCGCGGCGCGAGTCCGGCCGGACCTGCTGGGACCTGCGCCTGTGCTGCGGCCCCACGCGCGCGCCCTCGACCCTCAGCCCACGGCGGGATAAAGTCTGTCTCCCACCAATGCCTTGCTTTTCAGTCCCTGGAGGCTGGAACTCTCTCTCAGCCCTGGGGTCTAGCTTCTCAGCGGTAAAAGTATTTACAGCTTAAACTGAACCAATCAGAGCGAGAAGAAGGGATTATCTGCCTCCGGGAGGAGAAGGAAACCCGCCCCCTTGCCAGAGGCGCTTAAGGAAAAGTTTCTCTTGAAAATTTCCAGCTCTTGAAACTCCGCCCCTGCCCCGCCTTCCTGCGCCCGGAGCCGCGCGTAGAACTCCCGACTCCCAGGGAGGGGAAGGGGGTGACTGTTGCTGCTCCCGGTCTGGCTTCGCCCGCTGCCCGCCCGTAACACCCGGTCCTCCGACTCTTGGATACCTGCGGGGCCACCCCGAAATAAAGGCTCACCTTTCTCCCTGGAAAGATGACCGCAGCCCCGCAGAGGCTGGGGCTGGAGCTTCCTAAGGAACTCAGCAGAGACGGGTTCCTTGGTTTGCCTCTTCTCCCACTGCAGTGACCTCCAGGCAAGAAGTCAGTAGGTCCAGACACCTGAAGGAGGCGGTGTGGTGTAAAGAACTTGTTCTCGGTCTGTGGACAGACTAAGGCTCCAATCCTACCCCTGTCACTTACCAGCTGTATGGCCTTAGACAAGCCACATAACTTCTCAGTGCCCCAGTTCCTTTGAGGTCACAGGAGAGCAGTACCCGAAATAAAGAAGGCTAAAGTTCAGTGGCAGCATAGGGTTAAGAACTTCAGTCCTGGAGTTGAACTCCTACTTTTTGCCACTTACTAGCTTCCTTACCTTGGAAGAGTTATTTAACCTCTCCCCAGCCTCAGTATTACCTCCTCAAGAGCCTCCAATGGCTTCCCATCTCACTAAGGGAATAAGCCAAAATCTTTGTAATGGCCTACAAAACCCTCTCTCCTCTGGCCCTCTGCCACTCCTCTGTCCTCATCCCCTACCATTCTCCTACTCATCTATACTGGCTACCACCAAGGCCTTTGCACATTGTTCCCTGTAAGGTTCTTCTCCAAGATTCCACATGGTTCCCTCCCTTACCGCCTCCAGTTCTCTGTTCAAATGTCACCAGATCAGGGAGGCTTCCTTGGCCATCTTGTTTAAAATAGTAACACCACCACCTCCACCTCCACCACAGTAATCTACCTGCTTTCTTTCTAACTCTGTTCTCTTTTCTATTTTTTTTTCCACAGCACTTAACAACATTTGGCGCACTATACATTTTACTTGTTTATTTAGTGTCTCTTCTCCCTACAGATTTTTATCTGTTTTGTTCACCTGTATTCGTAATACCTAAAAGAGTCATTGGTATGTAATAAACATTCCATACGTAAAAAAAAAGAAAAAAGAAAATTTCCAACTCTTCCTTATTTAAAAAAGAGAGGAGTGGGAGAGAGACCCTCCTCTCTCCTCCCCTATAAGTCTCAAGAACTTTTTTCAGCTCTGAAATCCTATAAAATACAATACTGAATAAAGTCAGGCTGAAAATGATGCACTGGGTTGGATAATCAGAGAGGGTTGGCATCAATGTAATCTTCACCCTCCTCTTTCTTTTAATGAATATCATTGTTACTAATAAACATGTAGGATATTATCCTCCATTTACATTACAAAACCTTTTTTTAGGAAAATTAGATAATCTTTTATTAGCTGAAATATTTTACTTTCCATCTTAATGAGTTAAAAGACATACATAGAAAATAAATATTCTTCCTTTATCAATATTAAAAGAAGTCTAGATGTGAAAATCATCCTGTATGAATCTGCAGGATTTCAAAAGGATAAATAGAATTATACTACAGTTTTAATGTAGTCAAAAAAATTTAAAGTCCAACCTATAGGTACCACGTACTATTGCTTTCTTTCCATAATATTCTTACCATTTTCTGTAATAATGATTATTATGGATTCTAAAGCTAAATTTTTGGCTTGACTAAAAATATATGCATTTAATCTTTTAATTTTAATTTAATTTAATCTTTAATTGAGGTCAGGAGTTCGAGACCAGCCTGAGCAAGAGTGAGACCCTCTCTACTGAAAATAGAAAATAAAAATTAGCCGGGCATGGTAGTGCTCCTGCAGTCCCAGCTCCTGGGGAGGCTGAGGCAGGAGAAAAAAAAGCCTTGAAGGGATGCAAAATATTTTAATTCCCATGCAGACCTTACCAAATCAAATTCCCATTTTTGCAGTTGAGAAAATGGAAATTCGATTTGAAATGTATCCTTGTTAAGCTTACTCATTTAAACCCCACAACAACCCTCTGTGGTTACTAATAACTACATCTTAGTTATGAGCAGTGTATGTGGCGCAAAAGTCTTTGACCGATTCCAATGTCACACAGAAAGCGACAAGAGACTGAATAAATCAAACTGGTCCACGCCCTACTCTTCTAAATTCCAGAAAAGGGATCTAAAATTCCAAGCAGGGCTGGACCACCCTGGCGATACCTAAGGCTAGTCCTGTGCATTAAAGTCCAACTCCTCACCAAAAAGAGAAAAAGTGCTAAAAAAT